GAGAGGGAGCTTTCGATAGCTAGAGAGAGAGATATCAAAATTTTCTAGAGTGGGAGTCCTCGCCTATCGTATTTAAATTCTTATAATGCTATATCATAGTTTTTTTATTAAGTTACACCTCACACATGAGGTGTAACCGTTAAATTACACTGTAAACGCCTAAAGCCCACGTCCTTTAGTGAATGTGGCAAGAGCCAGGCAGCAAAAGCTTTGAAAATAGTGATGGTCCCTAAGGACCATCATGCTCATACGAACTATTACTTATTAAAAATTTTATTTTAATTTTTTTTTATTTTTAGGATTATGATAATCACTTACTAAGTAGCCAAACTCATCAAACTATGGTAAACATTTTTCAGAATAACTGCGGTTTCATTTTGAGTACTCGTCAGGATCAACTTTAGTAGATATTGTAGTTGTGCCTAAGCTTTCTTTTGTTATTTTGTAAGAATTCGCCACTGTAAATTTGTCCTATCAAGAGATGTATATATTTTTTGACTGTCACATCTCAGGAATAACAGTATTGTAAATTCTTGGGGTGTGACAGCTTGTCTGGGAGGAGTGGATTTGCATGCCCCGATGTGGATATTAATGATGATGTTAGGAAATATTCTCTGATCTCTAGATCTAAGTAAGATCTAATATAGGAATTATTAAATACACCTTTTGTATATGAAGTCCCAATTGTATCCAGGCTTTTAGCTTATGCAGCCGGTTTCTCTAGTATATTATGGTCCTCTGAAATCCGTTGGAGCTGCAAGCCAGGCATATTATGTATTTAGACAATGTTTAAGCCAGAAATGAAATGCTATTATTAATTAAAATAAATAAATAGAAAAACCTTGATGGCGGCCTTGATTGTAATGGTATTTTAACATTGAACCTTTCAACCAGCTTTCTTTGTTAGGGAAGGTGATAAGAGATGATGTTATTGTTATTTCAGCACCTTGAGGTCTCTGGAATGAAGTGGAATGCTCTAGGGTGATGAATATCAAGATGTTTCATTTTAGGGTTTGTTTTAGTCAAGGTATAAAAAGGAATTTGGGTGCCATCCAATTGGCCATATTTAAAGGTTCTGGAAACATAGAGTTGAGCTACAATGAAAATATGAAATTGGACGTCTGCATTTTAAAAAAGGATTAATGCATACTTTCCATTCCCCCATTGTCAGGCAAATTTCTTATAGTATTTAGAAACATAGATTTCTCTTTTTCACTGGCCATTTTGCATTTTCATAAGCTTATTTTTTAAGCAATCAGCTCTAGATGAAACTTTGAGGGTGTGTGCCTCATTGAGGCAGTAAGAAAAATACAAAATAAAATACCCAAGATACTTATAAAACTTTCAAGTATTATAGTTAGTTATTTTTTAATTCTTTCTTTTTATGTTTTTTTCCAGATGTATGGGGGTGATAATTATGGACAGCCAAAATTTTAGATCAATCTGATGTTCAAAGAAAAAATTGAAATAAACATACTCTCAATCTTTCTTCTTTTTTTTTCTGAAATACTCAAACATACTCTCAATCTTTTTCTTCTTCTTTCTTTCTTTCTTTATTTTTTATTTTTTTCCTTTTTAACATTAACACAACATTTCCATTAAATCGAAAAAGAATTACAAAATACAAGATATACATGAAGTAAAGAAGAGGAAGCGTAATAAAAAAATTGACAAGCATAGAAGTGGAGTTTGCTCCTCCTTTGGCGAAGGCATCATCTACCTAAAGCAATAATGCAAACATACTCTCAATCTTCTGATGAAGTTCGGAGAGTTGAGCTCCATAGCAATTTATTTGTGAACTACAACGCTCTTAGGAGATCTAAGTCATCCATTTTGTTAGATTTATCATATATGAGCTATTTCGATTTGAAATCTCATTCATTTAACATACATCATCATCACATCAATTAAAACTTCGATTGAATGGTTAAAACTTGCCAATTTCTAAATCTCCAAGCTTACAAAATCCACTTTAAATAAAAAATAAATTTCCAAAATCCTTATAACTTAGGGGCATGTCTAGATGTACTATCTATCATTGATAATTCACTATTTCAATAAATTATTCTTAATAACTGGACAAGTTGTTTGGCTGTGTCCTTCATAAAGTTATCTGAGATAAAATTTTGTTTTATATTTTTTTGAAAAGTTATTTTGTTCAAAAGTAAATTTTGACGCTGCATTTGTTTAGCCATTTATAGCTAAAAACAGTTGTAATCACCAAAAAGGTTAAATAATTAAGTAGTATTATACATAGTACTACATACATACCAAATAGTTAATAGAGAAATATCATTCAAAGTATATATTAAATTTCAATAAGATAATATATTCGAGATGAAATTAAATGTCATTCAAGCAGGACCTAAACATATCATTTTTCCTTGCACGAAATTCAAACTTCCACCTTTGATTCTAGAATTCTGATTTCAACTTTTTTTTTTTTTGGGTAATTCAGTGGAGATGATGAGCCCCTACCCTTTTTTTTGAAATCGTTAGTAGTTTTTTAATGCTTTAAGTGGGAATGGAAGCCTAGAAAATCAAGGCCCGATAATATTTATGATATTGTCAAGATAAAATGAATTTATCACAATAATATGGGCTACCTCGATATTAACCTTAGATGATAATAACATACAGTATTTTTAAAACTCAATTTTGAGTTAAAAACACAAATAAAAGATATCATTCTAATGGGAAAAGTTTATATAGAGCCGAGGCTCTAA